GACAAGTTATTTAACCTCTCTGAGCCTCAGAAGCTTGTCTCTAAAACAAGGAAGACAACACCCATCTCAATAGGTTGTTATGAGGGTTGGAGGTAAAGTGTATGAAGAGGTTGGAGCGTAGTAAGTACTGAGAAATACTCTAAAGGGAGAATGGAGAGAGGGGTAATGTAACAGTCGAATCTGTGGATACTTGTTCTGTGCGTGTGCTGTAGGATCCCTGAGGATGGAGGCCCCATCCTGAGGACAAAATCATTCTGGGGGATCAGAGAGAAAGAGACACTGAAACTGGATCCCGGAAAGTGGGGAAAGGGATGCCAGGAGGAGAAGCAGGGGTCCTGGAAACAGGACAGGTGGGATCTGGGACCCCCCTCTTTTGGGATCCTGGCTCTTGGTTGTGTCACCATCATTATCAACATTTATTGAGCGCCTACTATGTACAGATGACTGTTTGGCTTCGGGTACAGAATTCAGTGCTTCTGCTATTTAATGAATGAATGTTCCAGAATGTCCTTGGCATTTATTCATTCACGGAACAGAAATGTATTGTGGACTTACTATGTGCCAGGCATTGCTCTGGATGCTGGAAATACAGCAGAGAACCAGAGAGACAAAATTGCTTCCCTTATAGAGTTGACGTTCTAGTAGGAGAGGAAGGCACTAAACACGATGAGTATTCTAATGTTGGCAGCCTGTCAGATGGTGACAAGTGCTGTGGAGAATAATAAAGTAAGGAAAGGGAGAGGTGGAAGTACTGGGGGTAGAAACAGATTTTCAAGTTTAAGCTGGGGGAGGTCAGGACATTTGAGCAGACCTAGAAATCTGGGGGAGGGGGGAGGAGAGACTGTTCCTAGCAGGTGCAAAGGCCCTGGGGTTAGAACAGCAAGGCAGTCAGTGGAGCTGGAGGAGAGTGAGAGTGGTGGGAGGTGAGGGTAGAGGGGTGAGGGGTGAGACAGCAGGTTATTCAGGGCCTCTTGGCAAAGACTTGGACTTTTGCTCAGATGAAATGGGGAGTCTGAGTAGGGCAGTGGTGGGATCTGACAGGTTTTACCAGCTTCCCTCTGGATGCTATGCTGGGGCTGGGAGGTGGGGGACGATGAGAGAAACAGGGTCAGAGGCAGGAAGACCAATGAAGAGGCTACTGCAGGGAGGTGAGGGGACTGGGACCAGGGTGGTTGAATGTAGAGCTCAGGATCTGCTGATGGGCTGGATGTGGGGTGGGGGGAGGAGGAGGAACGGGGTGACTCCGAGGCCTGTGCTTGTTAGTGACTAATGACGTAGGAGTTCACACAGTGCTGTCCACACCAGGCCTGCCCTATCTGGGCTCACGCTCTTAATTCCTCTGTCCCTTCTTCAAGCCAAGGTACACGGAACCAAGGCCTCTGCCCTCCAGGGTCTTGTAGAGGCAGCTAGCAGCAGGCCTGGGTCCTGAGGGGGGACACCTTGCACCCTGGGGTTCCTTTCTCCCTGAAGGAAAGGTCCAGGCCAGCATGAAAACTTCACATTTCCATAGTGGTCTGTGTTTTTCATTAAGAGCTTTATTTTGATCCTCAACATAAGCTCGAGTATTGTTTTGCATCACATGAGTTAGAAAACTGAGACCCCCTTATGGGACTTGGCTGAGCTCTCACTGGCAGGCGGTAGAGCTGGAGCCAGAGCCCCACGCCCCCCATCCTGCATGCCGAGGGCTTCGCCATCCTCGGGGTGAGAAAGCCTGGCACCTTCCCTGGCTCCACAAAAGGAAAGAGCCCCGTGCTGAAATGGGACTACAACAGCCGTGGTGACAGATCAGTAGTGAGAGCTGACAAGCTCTTTCACATTCATGTCTCAGCCTCGGGGCTCTTGACGAGAATCGCACTTGCCTGTAGGGTCCTTGTGAGGATTAAATGAGTTAAGACATGGGAACCGTCCCTGGCACCAAATATGTGCTCCATAAATGCCAGCTATTATTATTCATGATAAAGGGCTTTCAGGGCCACAAAATGTCAGATGGGCACTGTGCCCATTTGATGGATTGAGGAAAGCTAAGGGTATGTTGGGCCAGCCCGTGAGAGTAGCAGAGGCCAGCCACTCCATCTTCCTGACAGAGATGCAGCGTTTTCAGGGATGGTAGCTACTGATCTCTATTCAGGAAGCATATGACATTTGGTAAGAGTTAAGCTTCCCACCTGCCCCCAGGGTGGGGGTGTGAGGCAGGGGCAAGGTGGGATGGTGTGTCTGGCCATGTGGGTTTGGGGGCTCCCATGCCCCCTCCCACAGCCCCTCCCCAACCCTGCCTGCCGGCCTTCCTCATCAATTCTGTGCAGGTCCATCAGGGGCTGGAGTGGGCCGGACCCTCACCGTCTCCTCTAATCCTTAAGTTGGGTTGAATCATCCTCATTTCACGGCAAGGTCCCCTGAGGTCATGTGAATTGCTCCAGGTAACACGGCAGTTTGGTGGCATAGCAGAGACGCCAAGGCTAGCGTTATTTCTACGACACATGCTACCCCAGCTGGAAGCCTGGGAGACCCATCACCTGCCTACACCAAGTGCCTGGGTCTAGACGAGGGGGAGAGTGGTCTCTGCCATCGTGCGTTCCCTTTTAGCCTGACATGCCAAGTCTTAGCTGCACCGTTCCCTCCCTCCACGCTTCGGTCCTGGCTCCCAGCTCCCTTGGCTCTCCTCCAACACAGGCTGAAGGGTTTTTTAAAAATAAGCAATTTATGCACACAAAGCAAAATTCAAAAGGCATAAAAGGCACTCCAGTGAAAAATCTCCCACCCCGTCCCCCAGCCACGCAATTCCCCTAACGCAACCACTGTCACCACCTTCCCAAGCATATTTCTCCCTTATGTATTTCCCCCATACAAACAGGAGCACCCGCAGCCACGCTGTTCTGCTCCTTGCTCTTTTGGCATTAGCGACATGGCTCAGGACCCCAGCGTTCCGTTGCAGGCCTGCACCATAACTGGCATCACCAGCCCCCTGGACCAGCATCTGGGTTGTTTCCAGCCCTTGGCTTTTACAGGCGGTGCTGCAGTAAATCAAATCGGCCAGCATCAGTTTGCCCACATGACTGGAAGGCGAATTCCTAGGACCACATGGTGCTGCCGAGTGGGGATGTGTGCTTCTGTGACGATGAGAGGACACCCAAGTTGTGTCATGTCTCTTCCCCACTACCAGGGGCGGGTTCAGCCTTCACTCCCATAAGGGAATGTCCCTCCCCTCCACCCTGCTCCTGCCCCCACTGCCAGCCTGCTGACAGCTGCACACTGTGGGGGTCCCCAAGAGCAGAGTTCTGTGTGACTTCAAGGGTTCTAGACGGCTCTGGCCCCAGGGACACTTACCTAATCTGGCTGGAAGTCCTTCATTAAATATCCCTGCCTTTTACTTTATCTAAATCAAATCTATCTTCATTTCTAAATCAATGTTTTCTTTATGAAGCAAGTCCTGACTTTATAAATGAAAGGCGCCAAATTAAGAAGAAAAAAAAATCAGACTCATTTCTTTGTCCTTTGATGAAATCCAGCTGCCCTCCCTCCCACCCAACCCCGCTGTACATGAATTTGTGGGAAAGGTTGCATTTTGCTAAGGGGAAAGGAACAAAACATATCTAGTGTCTGAGAGATACAAGGATGCAATACTGGGTTATTACTGGAAAAAGAACACTGCCCCTGGACAGATGGGGAGACTGAGGCCAGAGCAGGGAGGGACATCCTTGACCCAGGATCCTCATGTGTTGGCATACCTGCCCTGAGCCTGAGGGCCAGCTGCTGATAGGGCTGACGGTTCCTGGGACCCCCAGGTTAGGCTGAATTTTGGAGAGGCTTGCATTTCCCAAGTGTCCTCATCTGTCAGGGTTCATAGTTCCCAAGCCTGCAGTGCAGAGGCAGGGAGGTATCCTGGCCCCGAGGTTGGCAGCCCCTTTGAAGTCCAGGCCCCTGGCCCTCTCTGTCCTTTCTCCTGACAACTGAGCCATTCTTGCCTGGGGTGGCAGGGAGGCCTGGGTGGGGGATGGGAGTAGGGCAGTGCCTGCCCCAGCCTGGGGCAGCACATGGCCTAGATTGGACAGTCATGATGCCGGCTGGCAGATCCAGGCCACACACAGCTGCCCAATGACCACACAGATCACAGTGGTCTGACCTGTGGACCAGGAAGCTGCATGTCCGGGACTCTTAGGGGACATGGAAGTGGCTAGTGAGGCCTCTGAGGCTGGGCACCAGGGCAGCCAAACTGGCATTTACAGGGCCCAGCAGCACAGAGAGCTGAGGAGGCACTCAGCCTGGGCAGCAGGTAGGAGGGGGCCTGCAGCCAGCTTCCCAGAGGGCTTGAGTCCAGGCTCCAGGCTTCAGATAGAATTTAGGGGCTGAAACCAGGGGCTCTGCATTGGTTGGGAGTGGGGATGGGGAGCCTAGGTGGGTATTGTGGGCCTGGTTCAAGGATCTGGCTGGGTCGGGGGAATGGGGGCAGTGCCGAGGGGGCAGACTGAGAAGCCAGCTAGGGTTTATTGAGCTCTAGTGGGCCCTACAGGGTGCCAGGTCCTGGGGAGGGGGTGCTGACATGCACAAAGATAAGCCCGATTGCCAGCTTTGAGGACCTGTGTGTCTACAAAGCAAACCACAGATTTGTATAAAACAAATACGCCGTTGTTTGGCCCTAACTTTCAGCTGTGAGTTCAGAAACACAAAACACTGGTGGGCACCATGTTTTTTGGTGGTTGTGGCAAGAGGTGCTCACACCGGAGCTGGAGGATAGATCTTCAGCTCCATCCTGGGGAAGGAGAGGAGATGGAACAAAGGGCTCATGGCGGAGAGGTGGGGAGGTGGGCACGAGGGGTGCTACAGGGCGACTCGGGGTTACCCTCAGGATAGTGAGCCAGTCACTGGGCAGGAAGCACCCATTTCTATGCAAGGCTCATGTTTGTGGAGCCCTCATCCCCACAGCCAGCTGGGAGCCTCAGACCTGGAATGGGTCATGTGGGACATATCCCTCATCTCCAGTGATCTCTCTCCTGCCTTCCCAGTACATGAAACAGCCCAGCCTGCTGACCGCCGCTCCACACCTGTCCATCCCTCCACGGCTACACCATGTCTGGCTCCTACGATGAGACCTCACTAGCTCCGGAGGAGATCACGGACAGCTTCTGGGAGGTGAGGCTTTGATGCTCCCCAGATCCTGAGGACCAAACAGCCTGGCTGTGTGGAGGCCCAGTGCCTTTAGGCCTTGCTCCCGTCCCCTCGGAACCCTCCAAAGCTTTCGGTGTCCAACAGGCAGTGGTTGCCATGAAGTGGCTACTACTGCCCACTGAGCCCGAAGTCCCTCTGCCCCACAGCTGCCCCCGGAGAGATCCTGTGGCGTTCCATGATGTGGAACAGGCCTCTCCTGACCCTTTGCTCTGGGTGCCCTGGCTCAGACTCCTGGCACTTCGCACAGGCAGGCGCAGCACTTTACTGATCACACAGCTGCTGCCCGCCCCTGCCCTGTGAAGGAGCAGAAGGTGGAACACTGGTCACAGAAAAGTGGAGTGAGTTCAGGGAGCCCCGCAGCAACACAGAGGCGGAGACTGGCCGGTATTTCAGAGCCTTCCAGAATATTTGAGGAAAAATTCTTTCTATGGGCTTATGAAACCCAAAGTGAAAACTGCCAAAACTAAATTAATAAGTGTTTAATGAGATGTCTGCAAAACATAATATTATGTCAAGAAGCTGCAGCTCAACTCAATACTTATATGACTCTATATAAATATAATAGATTTAGCTCCCAAGAACAAAATGAATAATTCATTCTAGCCCAAGTCCAAATTACAAAAATCTTTCTGCATTTTGTGGCAGCGACGAAATGATGTTTAAAGAGGGGATGAGGGCGTGTGTAGACAGTGCGGGTGTGACGCGGGGCTGCCAAGACCTCTGAAAACGAGAGTCCGGAGCCCCTGCGAGCCGAGCCGGAGGAGGCCTGCGGGGACGGCTGTGGCAGGCGCCCCTTGCAGGTCGCCGCGTCTCGGGGAGCCCGCGAGAGTCTCGTTCTCGCTGCTTGGCCGCCAGGTGGGGAACTACAAGCGGACGGTGAAGCGCATCGATGACGGGCACCGCCTGTGCAACGACCTGATGAACTGCGTGCAGGAGCGCGCCAAGATCGAGAAGGCCTACGGGCAGCAGCTCACCGACTGGGCCAAGCGCTGGCGCCAGCTCATCGAGAAAGGTGCCCCCCATGACCACCCTGGGCGCACACCCCAATCTGGGTCCTGGGTCCTGGGAGTGCCCAGCCACCTGGATTCACCTGCGGCCTCCAGCCATAGCGCCTTTGCAGACGCTGTCCCCACCTACATTCCTTCACTCCCAAGCAAAAGCAGGTTGGATTAAAACAACAAGGACAACAACAACTTTTATTCTGAAATAATTTTAACTCAGAGAAAAGTTGCAAGAATAGTACAGAGAACTACATACTCTTCACCCAGATTCACCAGTTAACATTTTACCACATTTGTTTTCTCACTCCCTTTCTATTTATATGCATATTTTCCAGAACTATTTAAGTTGGAAATATGTTCCTTCACCCTAAATTCTTCATGTATCTCCTAAGAATACAAACATTTGCTTATGTAACAATAGTTCAGGACATTTAATATGGCCCCAAAGCAAATTTTATTATAGCACTTTTTTGCTGGTCCAGGACCCAATCCAGAATCAGATATTGCATTTAGTTGTCATGTCTCTGGGTTCCTTTAATCTAGAACAATTTCAAGTTGGGATTTACATGTATCAGTTAATGTATTTTTTCTTCCACTACACTCTAAACCCCATGAGGGCAAGGGCTGGACCCGTACTGCCCAGCAAAGTGCCTGGCACAGAGTTGATGCCAGTATACAGAGAAACAAATGCCTGTGGAATGTCTGGTCCCAGTGGCTTTCTGGTATCTGTCACCAGTTGGCTCTTCAGTTTTACATTCATCCAACATTCCTGCCTGGAGCACTTACTGTATGCCTCGTGCTGTGCTAGGCTTATCGGAGCTCGCAGAGTCAAGGTGCCTGCCCTGGGGCTCACAAGCTAACAAAGGAGATAGGGAGCAGGCACAGAGGCAGATGTATAAGAAGAATTCAGTGAGGGCTGTAGGCTGAGGTGTGAGGATAGAGTAGTCAGAGAAGGCTTCCTGGACGAGGAGGCTGTATTTGGGTCCTGGAAGATGAATAAAACTATAAGGAGAACAGAGGAGGGCATTTCTGCTGCCATGGGAAATATGGGGAAAGCCTCAGAGAAAGGAAGTGTGAAGGGGACCCCTGGATAGGGGTAATGAGGGCCTTGTTCTCACATTGCCATTTCCTCAGGCCCACAGTATGGCAGTCTGGAGCGGGCCTGGATTGCCATGATGACGGAGGCAGACAAGGTGAGCGAACTGCACCAGGAGGTGAAGAACAACCTGCTGAATGAGGACCTAGAGAAGGTCAAGAACTGGCAGAAGGACGCCTATCACAAGCAGATCATGGGCGGTTTCAAGGAGACCAAGGAGGCTGAAGATGGCTTTCGCAAGGCCCAGAAGCCCTGGGCCAAGAAGATGAAGGAGGTGCCTGGTGGGCGGCTGCCGCAGATGGGGCGAGGGTGGGCAGCTAAGCTCAGAGGGCCAGTCTGATCAGAGGGAGGGTGTCTACAGATGGGGTGGGCAGTGCATTGCCCCGTGGTATTGTGCCCATGGGGGAACAGGACTGCCTTCCAGTAAGAAATATCCACAGATGGGGTAGGCACTGCAGCGTCTGACAGGAAGGTGTTTGTAGGGGCAGCAGGCAGTGCCATGCAGGGAAACACCCACAGATGGGTGGGCGCTGCTCTCACATACCTGGAGCCAGGGCCTGCATCCATTCTGCCTCTTAAGAATGTGTGCTCACAACTCCTGGTGGCGCGAGCAGGTGGGAGGGGTTGACAAGTGACCGCGTTTGCTCCTGTTCACAAGTAGGAGGGCTGGCCATTGTTCCCCCTCCCCACAGCTAGAGGCAGCCAAGAAGGCCTACCATCTGGCCTGCAAAGAGGAGAAGCTGGCTGTGACACGGGAGATGAATAGCAAGACAGAGCAGTCAGTCACACCCGAGCAGCAGAAGAAGCTGCAGGACAAAGTGGACAAGTGCAAGCAGGACGTACAAAAGGTGCCGGCTGGGCTGGGGTCTGAGGGCCCCTCGGAGAGGGTGGTGGCCGGCAGCTGCAGGCCTGGCTCTTACCCTCCCTTCACCCTCGTGCCTACAGACTCAGGAGAAGTATGAGAAGGTGCTGGATGAAGTGGGCAAGACCACACCCCAGTACATGGAGGGCATGGAGCAGGTGTTTGAACAATGCCAGCAATTTGAGGAAAAACGGCTGGTGTTCCTCAAGGAGGTGCTGCTGGATATCAAACGTCACCTCAACCTAGCTGAGAATAGCAGGTAGCTGGGCATGGCAGCATGGTGGGCACAGGCAGCAGAGGGCAGAACTGGTGTGCAAGGCATCCCAGGCCCTATGTCAGAGTGACAGGAAGGGGAGGGCAGAGCTGCAGGGGCCAAGAGGGAAGAGTCTCCAAACAGTGAATTCCTGGGTCTAAGCTGATGCACGCTAGATACTCAAGAAATGTGCTTGAGTGGATGGGTGAGTGGCTAAGGTGGGGACGGGGAAGGGTGCCCACTGGGCATGGCCACACAGATTGCTCCTTGAGAAGCCTGCCTGATTGCTAGTTGGGGGCCATGACAGCACCCTGGTCCCTTGAATGGGACCCCAGCCCTCACCAAGGATGAGAAGGGGCCTCAGTGCATCTTGCCCCCCGGCCCCCCATCTCCCCTGTGTACAGCTATGTCCATGTGTACCGGGAGATGGAGCAGGCCATCCGGGGAGCCGATGCCCAGGATGACCTCAGATGGTTCCGCAGTACCAGTGGCCCTGGCATGCCCATGAATTGGCCCCAGTTTGAGGTGAGGATGTGTGGGGATGGGGAAGGGGATTCTGAAAAGGCTGGAAGGGGGCTCAGGGAACCTGCCCCCAGCCTGACTACTCCCCTGGCAACCACCAGGAGTGGAATCCAGACCTCCCTCACACCACCGCAAAGAAGGAGAAGCAGCCCAAGAAGGCAGAGGGGGTAGCAGTGACCAATGCCACAGGGGTGGTGGAGTCCACATCCCAGGCTGGGGACCGGGGCAGGTGAGTGCCTCCCATGGAGCTCCCTGGGGACCAGGGTGGAGGGATGGGGGTGTTGGTGGCTCACACACTGGTGCAACTGAGTTTTTTCCTCAGGAGAGAAGAAATGGTCTAAATCACAACAACCTCGTGCTCATCTCACAGATAGTGGTAGCTAATCCTATGAGAGTACCTACTGTGTGCCAGGCACTGTTCTAAGCATTTTCCATATATTAACTCATTGAAGTCTCCAATACTTTGAGAAGTGTGTAAATATTCCCATTTTACAGATGGAGAAACTGAAACCCAGAGAGGTTAAGTGACTTGCCAAAGGTCACACCATTAGTTAGTAAGCCTCAGGGTCAGGATATGATGCCCAGGAATTTGGCTCCAGAATCATCAGTCTCAACTATGAGATTGTACTTGCCCAGATGTTCTCTGCGGTCTTCTTCAGCAACCCCTCTCTCAGGGGCAGAGTAATAATGCTGATAGTCCTGCCTCACATTTGTTTGAAGAGCTGTCAGCGAGGGTTGCTGGCTCAGGACCCCCCTTACAAGGTCCATCTCTGCTCCAGCCTTGGTGAAATTTGGGGCCAGGGCTTTGGTTGGTTGGGAGGAGGGGACAGCCCTAGGGACGAGGTGAGAGGCAATTCATGCTGGGTCCCCTCTCTGTTTCTTAGCGTTAGCAGCTACGACAGGGGCCAGTCTTATGCCACTGAATGGTCCGACGACGAGAGCGGGAACCCATTTGGGGGCAATGAGGCCAACGGGGGCTCCAACCCCTTCGAGGACGACGCCAAGGGAGTGCGTGTGCGGGCACTCTATGACTACGACGGCCAGGAGCAGGATGAGCTCAGCTTCAAGGCTGGTACGGTGGGCGGGGCTAGCAGGGCGATTCCGGCTGGATCCTGGGGCGGGGCGGGACCTGAGGGCAAGGGAGGCAGGGATTTGTGGGAATGCAGATGGGGGCGGGGCCTAGTGCAGGACGTGGCCAAGACCTGGAGTGTGACTTGTGCCTCCCGGACAAAAGTCAAATTAGAGGGGCAACTGGGTGCCAGGGGTAGAGTCAGGACCCGAGAATAGGGTGGGAGCTGGGCCAGGGCACGGATTGGGGGCAGGGCCTGAGGGCCGGGGATGCCATATGACCCACCAGGGAAATGAAACTGGAAGCAGCCGAGACCCAGATTAGGTGGGTGGCTGCGGACGGCATGTGGTTGTCCCGGTGTGGCTGGAGCTGGTCCGCAGGGGCAGGCATTGGGGCAATAATGGGAGAGGCTTTGGGGGTCGGGACAGCATTAATTGTATTGGAGGGCTTACGTAGTAGTGTGGGGGTGGAAGGACTGTCCTCTCCAAGCCACTGTCAACGAGCTCCTCTGTGTCCCCTTCCCAGGAGATGAGCTCACCAAGCTGGGCGAAGAGGATGAGCAGGGTTGGTGCCGCGGGCGGCTGGACAGTGGGCAGTTTGGCCTCTATCCTGCCAACTACGTGGAGGCCATCTAGCTGCCCTGCTCCCCTCCACACTACCCCTCACTCCTCTCTCACCGCCTCCCCTCCCCTCCCACTCTTGTCCCCTCCCCTCTCCATAGAGTTCCAGACATATTTTCCGATCAAGCTTTTATTTTTTTAAAAGTCAAAACAGAACAAATCAAAAAATACAGAGACAGAGCATTCGCAGGGCCGCCTGGAGGCCAGGGTGGTGGAACTTGGGGTGATGGCCCCAGGGTAGGTGACGGTCTTAGAACTTAGCCCAACAGAGACATCACAACATTTGCATTTTAGATTCCACCAAAGAGTCTCCTGAGCCCTGAGGGATGTCTCCTGGACCCTTCTACCCTGCCTCACTGCCCCCATCTCACCCCTTTCATCCCTCCCCTCCCCACCCCAGGCTACCAGCACCTGCTCCCCCCTTCCCTGGGCCTGGTTTTCTGACTTCCTGCCTCACTCCACTCCCCTTCCACTACCACCCTATTCTCAGAGGCCCCCGCCCTCCAAACCCAGGCAAGGGGGCCTTCTAGTGTTTAGACTTCCACTCTGCCCTGGGGAGTGCCCTACTCTCCCTAGCCCCCCTCTTCAGGACTGGAGAAGGAGTGGTCAACCTCTTCTTCATAGAGGTTTCCAGTGGTCCCTAGACTCCCCCAGACATGAAGAAGGGTGAGCTGGAGTTGGTGACAGTGGCTGGGGTATTGGAGGGAGCAGAGGAAGCAGACCCTCAGCTCTCCCAACGGCAGGCTTAGCTGAGGAACCGAGACCCTGCTGGGACCCTTCTTTCCAACTGTCAGCACTGGAAGCCTTGCTCTTCCTCGAGTCACACCCTTCAGTATTTGCAGAGACCCCGCCCCCCCCCAAGGTCCTCAGACAGAGGGTGGGGCCCCAAAGCCCAGGGCAAAGCCAGCAACAGTAGCAGCGTCCTCCCATTTCCTGGGGAGGAGGGCATCTTGCCCAGCCACCCGCCCTCGCTCCACGTCCATCTAAAACTGGAGAATCACTGAGCTCAGCCAGCCTTCTCTGCCCTTCTCTGGTTTGCCTGGGGCCCATGGGAGCGTCCAGCCTTGGACCCGCAGGGAAAGCCTACAGCCAATGGGAGAGGAATGGGTTTGGCAGGAGGGAGGAGCCTGGCCCTGAGGAGCCAGACAGTCACCGTGTCTTTCTTCCTTGTTCTCACCACGCCCAGCCCCAGCCCTAGCCCCTGGAGCAACACTCCCCCTGCTGGCAGCCCCCCAATCTGTCCAAGCCTGGGTCTCAGCTAAAGGACTTTTGGGGGTGGGAGGAGACAAAGGGCCTGCCCAAAGCAGGAGTGTTTCCTATGGCTGGTGCTGGATTACTGAGTGTTAGTACCAGCTACCAGCCTCTCCCATGGAAGTAGGGCGGGGGTACTTGGGTAGCAGACCAGGGCAGGACAGGACCCCAAGAGGTGGGTGACTGGCTGAAAGAGAAGTCTCCCAGAACCTCTGTGGTGAGGCCCTGAGACTTCCTGCTCCACCAGGTGAGCCTTGCTAACCGTGGATGCCACTTATGAGCCTCAGGACTGTAGACCCCGTCCCCCTCCCACAGTACCTGGCCCCCTGGGCCTCTAGGTAAAGACAGGGTGATACTCCAGACCCTCTGTCACCCCTCAGTCCTCTTGCTCCCTGCTTCTTCTCCCCACAGCCAACTGTTAGGAGGCCACAGACCCCAGCCTCAGGCCCTGATCCTATTCATGTGGGCACAGAGGATCCTGGCAGACTCTGGCAGGGGTCTGAGCTGGGGCAGGCCTCCCTCAGGGCCAGGGGAGTTGCGGGGTGGGGATGATGGTGCACCACCAGGGAAGATAAATTCTCCTCCCCCAGGGCCCCCTTTCTTGTCACTGCTCTCTGGGCCTCTGCTGCAGCCTGAGATGTGCCCAAGGCCCCTAAGAGCCTGAAGCAAGATTTTGACAACCTTCAGCCCTCCCAGCTCCAGAGCAAAGCCTCTTCAGCCTCTCCTCCAGGCAGGAGTTGGGGTTGGGGGCCCCTGTCCCTCACTGTCTACCCTTGGGAGTCAGGAAGCCGGCACATCTGCACCTTGGGGCCTGGGCTCCCCCTCTCTGTGCTAGAGGCTTCCCAGCACCTGGGGAGGGGCTGTGGCCCTGGATGGACCCCAGGCCTGTCCCCCTCAGCATTCTAGCTACCCACTCTGGGGCAGGGACTCGAAACCCCATTCCCTGTGAACAACCACCTCCATAGCCCCATTTGGGACCACTCTTTCTCACGGCGCGGTCCCCAGGTTCCTCGGCCCTAGAGTGGAAGGGTCTCCCACCTGGAAGACCTCCTGAGCTCCCAGGGCCCAGCTCCACCTGTCAGTGCTGGTGTCAGGACACTCAACACCGTGTGGGGGCCGCACCCCTTGCCGTGCCCACCGCCTCCTGTAGCCCCCTGCCCACACCCTCGATGCTGCACGGGCCGCCCCCAAGGGCTCGGCGAGTCATGTGTTTTGTCCCCAGTTAACCACCGTTCTGCAGCCTGGTTCTGCGAGGAGCCAAGGCTGCCCTGCACCGCCGTCTGCAGCCCTCGACTTCCTGACTCCATTAGTCCAACACTTGTGAAACTCCGAGAAGTGCTGTGGTCTCAGCAATGCACCTGTTTTGTACATGATTGTGTAATTTAAAGGTATATAAATACAAATATATATATATATATAAGTTGTGATTGTATGACTGTGGATAAAATCCAGAACTGTGTCAACCTGGCTGGGCATTGTCATCTTGAGTCATGTGTCCTTTGAGGCCTCTGCAGTTGGGATGTCTGTTGGGGAGGGGTGCCCAGCACAACCACGGGCTGTCCTAGCTGACTGCCTTTGAGGGACTGACAACTGGCCCCTTCACCTTCCAGGGCCCCGGGTCCTGTCTCTGCAGGGATGGTTACACTGGATGCCCTCCGAGGCTCCTGAGTGGCCTTTAGGGTCCTGGGTGCCTGCCAGGCGATGAGCACTGACCAGGACAGCTTGGGCATTCAGGATCCAAACTGACGATTCAAGGGTGAATTTGACCCCTGAACAGGTTTCAATTTTTAAAGTGAAATTCTAAAAGTGACTGCTGAGGCCTGTGGTTCCTGGTTGTCCATAGTCCCAGGCCCCCTGTGGTGTGACATCAGGCCATGCCACACTGTGTCCTGCCTGACCTCTGACAGCAGATGTGTGTAGGTTCCTGGGAGGGCTCCTCCAGGAGGATTTCTCAGGGGAGTGGGCAGGACCTGAGCTCTGGGCTCTCAGGCCTGCTCTGCCAGTCCCAGGCCCTGCCCAGGCCTGAGCCCCTGCTCCAACCTACATACCCGCAGCTGGGTCTCTTCTGGGGCAGGGCAGGAGTCCCAGGTCCAGTCCCACCCCTGCCATCAATTTGCTGTGTCTCTCCCGCTACCCCCACTTGGGGGACCTCCACTTTCCCCAGTCTGGTTAGATGGTTCCCTGAGGCCCCTCTGACCCCATCAACCTGGCAGGGCACTGACACAAACCCCAGGATTCAAGGCAAATATGTTACAGCCCCTTCTCCCCCACCACTTTTCCTGCAGCCTCAGGGTGTGCTCAGGGGAGGGAGAAAAGGTCAAGATGGGGGTTGAACCTGTCTTCCACCCCACAACCTTTCTCCCCCAAATCTACCCTGACAAGCTCCTGGTTTTAGCCAAATGGAGGACTATTCAAATAAAGACAAAAGGTTGCCTTGTCTTATTTGCGCAGGCTGCTCCATGCAGTTATGGGGCGCCCTGGAGGTGGGGTCTATGAGGAGGGTCAGGGAACACCTAGATGGGGTTCTGATGGGCAGGTGTGTGGAGGAGGAAGAGGAATCAGAAGTTTGCTGCCAGCACACAAAGAAAGGGACATGTGCCTCATGGCAGATCCACAGAGCAGGGAGCTGCCCCACCCTCTCCCCACAGCTCTCCTTTCTGGAGGGACTCCTAGTCCCTAATCGCCACTCTCTCCTCCCTCCCAGGCTCTACCTGAGATCCCAGACCTCTCCAGCCCCAGGCCCAGCTGGGGATGAGGAAACAGGTAGCTCCAGGGACTCAGCTGGGGGCAGGACAGGCAGGCTGGAGACAAAACCAGAGCCAAGCTGGGTTCTGGCCAGGGTCCCAGTCTGCTCCCTCCTGGGGGTGGGCAGACAGCAGGGGCCCAGCGAGGCACAGGCCTGGGGCAGGGCCCCCTCCTCCTCCAGGTCCAATCCCAGCTGACAGATGCCAAGGTGCTGTTTGCTCAGTGCCAGGAGTAAACTTTCTTCTGAAGACAATAAAATTGCTGAGGGCAGAAGGTATCTGTACAGGGCAGCAGTTAACCATTAGTGGTATGGTCGGCACTGGCTGGTTCCCCGTCTGGTTCTTCAGATGCCTGTCCTCAGAAGCTAAAGTTTATAGCGGCTATGGGTGCGGACCAGCCATGAAACAGGAAAGGCAGAGAGAACCCCGTCCTGGTGAATTCAGTTCTTGGTTCTGCTGCTGATTGGTTGTGTGTGAGCAAGCCACTTAACTGCTCTGAGCCTCAGTTCCTTCACCTGCAAAATGGGGGAGTAACTCCTAACTTTGTTGGGAAGGTTAATGACAAAAAAAAAGAAGTGGAAGCACATAGTCAGCCCTCGGGACTCATGAGCTTGATGAACAAATGTGAGGGAAGCTCAAGGAAGCTGAGTGAGCTGCTTTGCCCAGGAGAATGGGTGGAGGGTCCCATCTCCTCCAGCACACACACAGACACGCATGCACGTGCGCACACACATGCGTGCACACATGTGCACACACACACATGCACGCACGCACACACACATGCACACACACAGTCTGACCACACTTTTCCCCCATCAAACTCTTACCCCTCGCACCCCACTTGCAGGGCTCACAGCTTCACAGGGGGCACTACTGAGGTCTGTGACCTCACTCTTCGGGAGAGAGGGACCACAAGCAAGCCAACCTCTTTCCCAACCTGTTCACTCAGAGCCAGCATCTCACAAGGGGACCGAAGCACCCACCCTGTACCGCACCCCTGATGCCCCAGCCCAGAGCTCCTTTGGTTAACCAAGCAGAGACAAGGGCTCTGGGCCCCCTTGCAAGAGGGCCAGCTCCCTGGCCCACCCCAGGCAGAAAGACCTGATCTACAGCAGAGCAAGAGAGTACGGAAGACCCTGCCTTCTTTCCAGTCCTAAGCGTAGACCCTCTTCAGCCCCAGCCCCCCTCCCTTCTTTCAGCCCACACCTGGTGGAGGGAGACGAGAGCCTTTCCAGCCCCTCCTTGGCCTTGAGGACTCACTGCCTCTCTTTGACAGCTTCTCCAAGTATCCCTTTCCTTTTAGGCTCAGCTCAATGCCACCTCCCCCAGGAAGTCTCCCTTGACTACCCTAGGCCTCTGTGACCACGATCACTTTGAGCACTGCACAGACACTGGGGTTATGTCAGTTCTCTAGTATCTTTATTATCTATTCCCGGGGCACCCCTGGCTCCCCAACTCAGGAATGCAGACGTCTCCTAGCACCATGCCAAGCATGGTGCAGAATGGGTAGCAGAGAACACAGGACTGTGAGTGGCCTTGGCCAAGTCACTGCCCTTCTGTGGGCTGTGCTCTGGAAATTCTGGGGTCAGAGGCTGGGGTAGAGGGAAGGCCTTTCCTGGGGAGCTGTGAACACTGAGGACAGCCCTGGCCCCCTCCATCCTGCAGTGGACTGGGCATGTGAACATCTGGGCCTGAGGAGGAAGCACCCCCTCTGAAGCCCCTTGGGCCCCAGAGAGCTCACTTATACCCCTGGGAGCAGTGGGCCATCCCCTCCCTGACCTTGGACTCTGAATGCCAGCAGACTGCCCTCTCCCCCAGCTCCGGGTCTGGCCAGGGCAGGGGCAGGCAGGGGGGAGGGCTGGTGAGGGCGAGTTTCAGGCTGAGGCCTGGCCCACAGCCCTCAGATGGGGTGCACAAACTGGTAGACGAGGCGCTGGGAGATATCCGGCTTCCGGATGATGCCCTTCTTGTAATACTGGCGGATGGAGCGGCTCAGCTTGTCGTAGTTCATGGCAGGGCGGTTCTTGCGGATGCCCCACAGCCGGGCCACCTGGGCCGAGTCCTCAATTTTGAAGATGCCTGGGGGAGCAGGAGCGTCCAGACAGCCAGCGGTGCAAGCGGGGAACGGCAGGAGGGAGAAAGACCAAGACCAACAGGTCAGTCTCTCGGATAGCTAAGCTAGCCAGTGTCCACAGGGGCAGGGCCAGGCTGCAGGGGCCATGAAACCTACTCCCATGGTTGTGGTGAGGGTTAAAGAAATGTGTGCAAGGAGTGTGCCACGGGGTCCAGTAAGTGGTAAATAATACGACGGAGCCATAAACCCCCTGGGGCAGACTGGTTATCTCAGTGGGTTATTTGGGGGCTCTGAGGGCCTGGCCCTTGCCAGCCTCAGCTCCTACTGTGGGGTTTGCACACCTTACGCAGAACCCTGGTGGGGAGGGGGTGGTGGTGGGTTGCAGCTCATCTGGTAAGGTCATCCCCCCACCCCTGCCACCTTGCAGTTCCCAAGCCTGAAAGACCTCTGTGCCGTTCTCAGGCACTTCAGCCCACAAAGCTCTTTCTGGCAGATTTAATTCAGGGGAGGTAATGGAAAGAGTGGATTTAAACCTGGGTTTGAATCTTGGCCCTTTTCTACCTGTAGAGGGTGTCTGAGGCCCCTCTTCCTGTCAGTAAGGGGGTTGTAGTGACTACCGCGTTGTTGAGTGGTTACAGAAAGTGCTTAGAGGGGAGTCTGAAGGAGGAGCCCCTTGGGAAGAACCATTACATCGTTCATACCCCTAGATCTCCATTCTAAGCCCTCCTGGCAAGGCCCAGGTCAGCACACCCCTCCAGGCAGCCTTTCCAGACCACCCAGCCCTCCCTGATCCCCCTTCCCTGAAACTCGTCCTTGAGACCCTCTCCCCAGAGTCCCAGAGTCCCAGAGATCCAGAGGACCAGAGGACCAGAGGAGAAGCTGCCTCGTTCCCCATCTTAGATATGCACACAGAGCCATCACACCCCCTGGCGCCCCTTCTCGTCCACACTCAGCACAGAGTCACCTCCTCAGTGAAATCCCCGTGGCCCTGTCACTGCCTGACATGCTCTGCACACCAGCTATTTCACTGCTAGTTCTCCTACAAGATTGTAGGTCCCTTGAGGATGGGGTGCAGCTGAATCCTCCCCGAACCCTCAGGACACTAATTCTTTGTAAATGTCAGCTGAACAAGTGTGGACCAGAGGAGGTACTCAATGAAGAGTTGCTGGATGAATGAATCTGAAGACTGAGGTCTAGGCACCCACGGCTACTACCGACAAGGCGGGGCCTAGAACCCAGGTATCTTGGCCTTTGCCAACACACACACACACATACACACACACACACACACACACACACACACACACACACACTCACACACTCACACACTCACACACAGTCACACTCACACTCACACCCCACCTAGCCCTGTGCTGTCCAAAGAGGTAGCCACTAAATACACATTGGATTTCAAAGACTTAGTAAACTATCTCATTAATAAATTTTACGTTGCTTATATTATATGTTGAAATTATAATAATTTATAGTATTGGGTTAGATAAAAGTATTATTAAAATTAAATTTACTAGTTTTCAGTGTTTTTTTAATGCGGCTGCTTGAAAATTTAATGTTACACGTGTGGCTCACGTTGTGTTTCTCACTGGGCACTATCAGTCTGCCCAGTGAAGCTCTGATGTTTTGAGGGCAAAGACTGTCCCATTCTCAGCAGGATTTCGAGTGCCCACTGTGCCCCAGGCGCAGTGCAGCGCTGGGGATTCTGAACAAGAGAGAGCCTGGCCAGGCGGCAGGTGTGGGCACAAATTGCACACAGACCCCAAGCAGGTCCAATGACAAGAGGGGGACAGCTTCCCGCTCTGCCCAGCCCAACTCCTCCCTGTGCCTGGTGCCTGGTAGGAGCCAGGCAACCTCCCCACCCCCTGCCTCAGTGCCCCCTTGCTCCCCCGTGGCCCAGAGCCTGACAGTGCCCTCGCCAGGTGCCCCCTTACCCTTCTCCTTGTTGAGCCACCGGATGAAGCGGCCGTAGCTGTGCGGCTTGAGCAGCAGCTCCTTGAGAAACTGCCACAGGTGGATGGGCTGTCCAGAGCAGGATGAGTCCACCTCGCTGTCTGTCCAGCTCTCCTCATTGGTCGAAGCTGTGCAGCCAGGGAGGGTGGCAGTGAGTGGGGAGTTGCGGCTACTTCAGTGGCAGCCACCCCTCGACCACAGACCTCAGAGCCCCGGCCCCCTCCCAGCCCTGCCCTGCTCACCACAGTAGTGAATCGCCCCAGGGGAAGTCCTCTCTTTCATCCAGGCCGCTGCAGGACAAGGACAGGAGGTTGGGGACTCAGGAGAGACCCCAACCTCCCTCCCAAGGGGGAAGAGGGCATTTGGGTGGGACTGTGGGGCCACAGAGGCCCCCCTACTCCCCAGTTTCCCAGTGACTCCCTCCCTCCTGCCAGCCTGGAGCTGCTTTCTGGAAGGGAATTTAGGATTTCAGAGCTGGGAGGGGACGTGGAGGCTCTAAATACAACCCCTTGTTCAGACAGGAGCGTGGAAGAGGAGCCTTGCTCTGCCTCTCTTTCTTATCTATGAAACAGGGTCAGGACAACCCCTCACAGATCTTGCAACGACCCGAGGTGACAAAGTCTACACAACGCTCTTCTCAGTGCCCAGCATAATAAACACCCCCGTCCTTCAGTTGCCAAGTTTACGAAGCACTTCTATCCCCTCCTGCTCTCCACCTGGCCCCTTCCCCATCTCCCCCACACCCAGACCAAGCAGTGGGGGTGGGTGAAGGCAGGTGGCTTCTGCCCACATCACCACCCAGCACTCAGCCTGGTACTGCCCACTGCCCTTGGCAGCCAGTGTCAAGGAGCCTGGGGTGAGGCTGGTCTCTGAGTGGGTCATACAAGTGGGTCCTGTCCCCTTATTCATCTTAGCCTGAGGGCAGGGGCCTTGACCCACTGAGCAAGCACTGCCTCCTCCAAAGCACACGGCTCTGTGCAGGGCACACAGTGGGCACCCAATGAGATGGAAATGGGGTTGGCATGCAGCCTTTCCAAAGAATAGGGCAGCTACATGGATCTTGATGGGATACAGGCTCTGAATACATTATTATGTGTAGAACAATGTGACCCTCTGATACTGTTCATGTTTTAAAAGGGTAAAAATTACACATACATATTTGCTTGTATATGCATAGACTTTCCCTGGCCAGGTACCCAAGAAACTGGTAACAGTGGTTGCCTCTAGGGAGGGGGATTGGAAGGCCGGGGGTCAGGAGCGGGAGGGAGAATTGCTCATGGTATACTATTTTTCACTATGGTCGTTTTTTTTTAATCGTACACATTTATTACTTCATTAATGAAAAACAACAGAAAACAAATGAATTAAATTTTTAGAAGGACAGAGAAGAACTTCATAGCATCCATGGTCCCGTTACCTCTGATGTCCTGTGTCCTCACAGTCTAACTTCTACCTTCTAACTTCCCATGTGCTCTGTCCTACGTTCTGTGGGCTTAACCAGGGCTGGGAGGGGTCAGGGCTGGTGAGTTAACACAGGCTCCAGGGAAGAGCTGCAACTGGGACTGGGATTCAGAGCAGCCCAGCGGAGAGTAACCTCCCAGCTGGTATCCTGACCTAAGAGTCCCGCTCTGTGTCCCTGGCTTGGAGTCTGGGAGGGGCCGCTTCCACCCACGCCATGTCCTACCTGATTTCCAGATGTCCAGGTGGGCGTGAAGCACATCCCCACTCAGGGGTGAACGCTGGCGGAACTGCTCCTCTGACATGGCACACAGTTCCTTGCCCCCCAGCTCCTGGAAGGCCTTGCCCACGGGGGGCAGCCGGTACTGGTGTTCCGTCCACAGGAGCCACTTCTGCACATTGCCAGGGCTCCAGTCCACGGGGTCTGGGCAAGAGACACTTCCTCAGCTCCGGGGGCTTCACGAGAGCACCACCCCGAATGTGGCCCACTGTGCTGGGATGGGGCGCCTGTGGGAACTGGCAGCTTGTGGCCCAGGACCATGAGTCCCTGGGGTGGGGACAGGCCAAGACAGACCCTCTCGAGGGGCCCTGTGGAGTGGGTACCCAAGAAGAGAGGGGAGTCAGCGGGAGGAGCCAGTACTCTATAAACAACCTTGGCTCAGGGCAGGGTGCCTGGGAGCTCTGCACGCCCCCACCTCACCCAGACCTTGGGTTCTCCCAGACACTTCCAGCCACCTGAAAGGACCTTTAGGGGAGCTCCAGCCCGGGAGGGGACAGTGACATTAAACCAGAAACACGTGAGATTTTCTCCCAGCTGCCTTTTGCCTTACCAAAGCCCCTCAAGGAGCCAGAGGAAAACCCAGCCAGGAGTTAATCCTACAATCCCCAACCCCCACGGTATTTTACAGATGAGGAAGCTGAGGCACAGAGAGTTCCATCCCTTTGTCCAACACCTAACAAAGGGCTGAGTACATAGTAGCTGCTCAATGCATGTGTATTGAATGAATGAATGAATGAATGAATGAATGGCAGGGCACAGGTTGGCAGGGCAGGGGCAGCTACAGGCCTCAGAGGCAGGATGGGGGTCATCGGCTAGGTCTTAGATGTTCCCCTGAGTTACTGCTCTGGGGTGAGCCTGGCAGGGCACACAGGTGGAGGCCAGGCTGGTGGGCTTGGTAACAATGGAGCTCCACGTGAACACCGTGGTCTAAGCTGGTACCCCAGCTGGGTGACCTGCAGGCCGGGCTGCCCACATTTAATAAACCCATTTTCCTCTCCAGGGTCAAAACGATTTGTTTCTGTCTCCATTGTTCAGATGGCAGGCCCCTCCCTCCCTAGCCCAGTGTGGGAGCAAAGGCACCATGGGAGACCTCCCTGGTGGTGAGGGGGCTAGCCTGGGCATTGGGCAACTGGAGGGGTGGGGTGTGGGCAGGAGCTAGCTTAATGGAGCACCAACTGGGATTTCTGGGGGGCAGAGGCCCGGCCCAGATGACTCCAAGGAGGAGGGGCTGGGCCTGAGGGATGCGGGAGGACCTTTTCTGTGTGGAAGTAGCACAGAGTGGGATGCTCAAATGCCAGGGTCCAACGACCAAGGAGAGGGGTATGGCCTGCCCAGAGCTGCAGAGATGATGGAGGGACAGAAGCTGGAGACCAAGAAGCCCCTTGACCCACAGCATCAGCTCCATCACCACACCTTCCAGGCCCTGGCAGACACACACATGCCAAGCCCCCTGAAGTCCCCTTCTCATCAGAGCCCTTATCACCACTGGACCAGTGTCACATTTATTTATTTATGACCTGTTTCCCTCATTATAATGTAAGCTTCATAAACAAAGGGGCTTTTGTGTTGTGTTCACCACTCAACTCCCCTGTGCTAGAACAAGGCCTGGCTATTAAGTTACTGTTTATTGAGCATTTATTATGTACAAGGTGCCATCCTAGGAACTGGGGATATAGCAAATGAAAATCCCTGCCCTTCGGGTGTGCACATTCCAGTGAGGGGTGGGGGAGACAGATAGTAAACAAGATAAATAAATAAAATATGCAGCATATCAGATGGTATGTGCTGTGAGAGAAATAAAGCAGGAGGAAGGGATAAGAGGTAGGGGTATAGGCAGCGATTTCAATAGCGCGGTCAGGGAAGGCCTCATTGAGTTGAGGCCATCTGAGCTAAGACATGAAGGAGGTAAGAGGTGAGCCAAGTAGATATTTGGGGGAAGAGTATTCTAGGTGGAGGGACCAGCAGGTGCAAAGTCCTGAGATGTGTATTGTGGGAACAGCAAAGAGGCAGCTGTGACCAAGGGGAAAGTGGAGATGAGTCCAAGAGGATGCAATGGTCCAGACAGTGTAGAATTCGAATTCATTTCATCCAGCACCTACCAAGTGGGGACTCTGGGCTGGTACATTGGGGGCACAAAGAGGGTCGAACCTTCCCAGCCCCAGCTCACAGTTGCTGTGTTATTGGCGGACCGTGTGTGTAGAAGCACCAACGTGCCTGGGGCTGTGCCAGGGGTGGCCAGGGTGCTCAGGCAGCATCCCTGCCTCCCAGTGACCTCAGCCCTGCCTGCCCCCAGCCTCGGGAGGCGGGCATGTGGAGGGGCTCACCTGCGGTGATGTTGAGCAGCTTGCAGGCTGTCTCAATGTCCTTGAGTACCTCGCCCACCACCATCGACTGCACCTGCTCCAGCGAGTGCTCCTCCAGGGTCAGCCCACCCGGCGCCAAGTCCAGACTGCCCCCGGGGGCTTGGCTGTCGATCACTGGGCACTGCTCAGGCTCCTCTGGCACCTCGTCCCGAGTGCTTGCCCCGGGGCCCTTGGAGGCCCAGCTGCTGTTCTCAGGGTACAGCATGTCGAAGTAGGAGAGGTAGAAGGCAGACAGGCCCTGCTCGGGCGTGGCAGGGGGGCTGGGGCTCCAGTTCCGTCTCTCAGACACGCCTGCCCCTGTGGTCACCTTCTCTGGGCCTGTCCGAAACACAATGTTGGGGGGTGCGCTGCTCAGGCCCGGGCTGACGCTGCCCATGCCGCTGCTGCTCAGGCCAGTGGCTGTGTCTACAGAAATAAGAGAGGAAGGAGTCAAGTTCTGGCTGCTTCCCATCCCCATGGTCGCCGCTAAGCTGGTTAAGGGGATGAGGGGCCCAGTGAGCAGTGGCTGGGGCTGGGAGAGAGCTGGGGCTTCCGGGTCACCGCGCAGCTAGGACAGGGCTGGGCAGACGGGCCTTCTGGCTGTGAAAGACAGGGAGGTGGGAGTTGGGGTAGAGCTGTAAACGGACAGCCCCCTCACTGCCCGAGGAAGCCAGGCTGGCTGGGAGCAGCAAATCTTTACACGCGCGCGTAGTGTGCTTCCAACAACCTTTTGAGGTTTTTGACCTCATTCATCCCTCCCCATGAAAGGCATGATTAGTCCCATTTGGCTGATGAGCAAACTGAGTCCTGGACAAGGAACCTTTAATAAGGTCCAGGCCTCTGTTACTCAGCCGGCCTGCACCCAGGTCCCAGTCCACTCTCCTGTGGAGGAAGTTCCTTCTGAGAGTGAACCTAAATCTTTCCTGCTGTAGCAAAGCTTGCTTTCTTTTATTGTGCCCTGGAAGGACAAAAGGGAAGGGAGAGACTCACCATCACCTTCACCAGCCAGGTGAAGGAAGAGAGGAGCAAGTGTGGGGTGTGATCAGGTGGAGTCCCCTGAGGGGTGTGAATAAATTACCAGCGTAAGGGGGCTAAGGAGGTGGTCACTGAACAGCAATGCCCAGGTGGACTTGGCCCCGACCCTGTTCTGGGCTGGTACCCACCCCACCTCTCCTCCTCAAAAGGTGCTGCCCCCTGAGCCCTGTCTGCTCCCAGGCCCTGGAGAACTGCGCTGCCCGGAGGAGGTGGTGCTCATGTGCTGACCTTCAGGGGCGCTTTCCTGGGGCAGCGGGGGTGGGTGAGAAGGCCAGGACTCTGACACCCACTCCTCCCTGCTGCCCCAGGGTTCCCCAGGGGCATCATTTGGCCTCAACACGAGCAACTAGAGGCACCCCCGACCCCCCACCCCTGTTGGTCACCCAGGCTTTTGCCCAGGCCCTTTCCTCTGAGCCTCAATGGAGTACGTGGTTTGGGAGAGGCAGGGCACTTGAGAGAGGTGCTTGCACCGAACACCGGATGTGTGAGACTCAAGAATAAATCAGGACAGAGGTGGAAGATTACCAACAAATACGTGCTCCCAATAACACAGGGGACCGTTCAGAGTGGAGGAAAGTGCATGGAAACCTGTTAGGGGCAAGTTCATGGGTCCTGTCTCCTGGGGATTTGTATTTGCAAGCAGAGGTTCTCCAAATGCAGTGCCCAGACCAGCTGCATCAGCACAGCTGGGAACTAGTTAGGGATACGACTTCTCGACTTCTCGGGCCGCCCCAGAGCACTGAATCAGAAGCTGTGGGGAGAGGGGGAGGCCCAGAAGTGCCCGTCAACAGGCCCTTTGGGTGTTCCTGCTGCATGTTCATGGCTGAGAATCGCTGCTTTAAAGGCATCTGGCCAAGTAAGAGAGGGAGGCTCTAATCAAAGGACTGGTAGACTCTCTGATGGTGACATTGCTTGTGCTCCACTGGGACAGTGAGGCAGGCTCCCTGGTCACCTCCAGTCACCCCGTGGGACTGACCTGCTCAGCCTGTGTGCAGTGGCATTTGCCGCAGCTGGTGCGACAGGGAAAGAACCTAGTTTGGAAGATACCCCGGCTTCTCTAGGGCTGCAGCTAGCCCATCCCACATCTTCGGTTCAGCTCAGGAAACGATGCCCTTTTTTCTCTGGAGAGCATAGCTTGGTGAACTGAGCCCAGGTGGAATTTCAACTCCCTCTTGCGCAGTGCCCAACCTTCCCAACTTTATTTGGCAGCCCTGCAATATTCCGTGGTGGAGAGAATGCCAGCAAGAAAGAAGGGTGTTCCCTTTGACTTCGACTCTCCCTTTCAAGGGCTCCTTTAAGTGACAAGGAAGGAAAAGGTCAGGGTGGGGTGGGGTGGGCAGGGGTGGAGGGGAGGCCTGGGTTGCAGGGGACAGAGGGCAGGCCTGGAATCATTTCAAGTCCTTCTGTGCAAACACACGTGTGTGCTCTAGGCCCACATTATTTACCCAGGCGGCATCCACAGCCCACTCTGCTCCTGTGTCCCCACCCCCCACCTGTGCCCACGCCCTACCCCTAGGCGGCCCTACCCCCCTTCCTCCCTCATAACCCCTTGCTTTCCTCCCACCCCATCCACGTCCCCAGAACCCCCATGCCTGCCACGTTAGGACAGTCTCTGCCAACACCCTGGGCCATATGCCAGGGAGACGGAAGCTTTTCCAAGAAGCAGGAGCACTTGCCTCCCTCGTGGCCCTCCTGTTTGCTTGGCCTCTGCCACAGGTAGGGTGGAAGGCAGCTGCTATTTTTCGGGGCCCCGTGGCATGAGGGGTCAGTGAGGATGAATGCGCAGGGCAGGTGGCAGTGTTTGCCAGGCGGGGATGTGATGACACATTCCTGACACATTTGTCAAGTGAGCTGCAGAGCGCTTGCATCCGTCCCTCCCGGGAGAGAGAGAGGCAGCGTGGGCCTTAGTCTCAGTCCTAGTTTGTGGATGGGGAAGTTCAGGTGCAGAGAGCTGAGCTAAGTGACTTTCGACTCCTGGCCCAGGGCTCCTTCACCGGCAGAGAACTCCCGCCTCTTCCTCAACACCCCACACTCCAGCTCCCCATCACCTTGCTCCTAAATACCCAGGAACCTGCTCTCAACCAAGGCTTGGGCCAAGCTCCAACACCTCCCTGGCAGAAAATACTCACTGTTAAGAAACTTGGAAAGCAAGAGACACGAAGTACAGGTGTGTTCATGATTAACCATGCAGCAAGAGGAAAGATCCAACTATTCACAGGTGGGAGGTGGTGGGGAATACTCTTACCCAGCAGCCCCGGTCTGGGGGAACCCTGGTTTACTGGCCAGGGAGCCAAAAGCTAGTGTGCCCAGCCTGCAGTTTGGGCATCTCCTCCGGGCTCTGGGGCCAGACTCAGGTGGGAAGAGAGAACTGCACAGTGAGCACCCCCTATGCCCAGAGCGTTCGGGCACATTTCCCCCTTTACCTCCCACAGCCTGGGTGATGTGGACACGAGAGCCCCATTTTATGGATGCAGAGAGTGAGGCTCAGAGAGCTTGTCCGAGGTCCCCAGCTAGCCATGCGTGGGCTCTGCTCATTGTACCACATTCCTTCTGAGGCTTCTGCTCTGGCCAGTCTCATCTTCCCTGGGTCCTGCCCACTTCCCGACTGGGCAACTTGATCCTCCAAAGTTCACTCCCACCTCCTGGCTTCTCATTGCACCCCAGTGTCAAGCTCATTTCCCTCCATCACCTTCTCATCAGGCACCCCTCTGCTCAAGAACCTCCCGTGGCTCATCACTGCCAGCCCTGCCAGATCCTAATGGCTGGTGTCCACCTCTGAGCCCACCTGCCACACAGCCCAGATAACCAGAGCTGGGAGGGACCATGTATTATGCGATCACATGATAGATGGGAACAATGAACCCCAGAGTGGGGAAGGGATTCATTTGCTGGTTAGTGGCAGGGTCTAGATCAAAAACAGGGATCAATCGACATATCTAGGCCCTAATGAGAATCGCATTTCTCTCCTGGCCCCTGTGCTATGGGCACATGGCTATTTTCTCTTGTGTTATTGTCCCCCTGCCCATGATGACCCTTCCTTTTCATAACAGTTCAGCCCAAAGCCCCCCTCCCCCATGAAGCCCTCCCCAATAGCTCCCTCGTCTGACTTCCCACCTGTCCCCATCTATGCCATGCAATTCGGCCCTGATTACATTCACAGGTGACTGTCTGCCCATGAGGACACACATGTACTGAGAAAAGTGAAGCTCAGAGCATGGCAGGGACATGCCCTTAGTCACATAGCTAAGCCAGGACCAGCTAGAGGCCTGCTGACCCTCAGGCCACTAGGTCCTGGGACAAGCTCAGTGTTTGCCGGGTTCAGGTCCTTCGGAGGGCAAACCCAACCCTCCTGACAGCCTCTGCTGCCTGGGCCCAAGGGACTGCCCGTCTCCTGAGCGATGCCACCAGCTCACAAACCTCGAGCTGATATTTTCTGGATTAAACCACATGCCTGGATTAAGGCTCAGCATGTTCTTGCCCCTCCTGCCTCAGCGGCTTTGGCTTCAACTCCAGACAAAGAAACTTTGGTAACAGCTGGTGGAGGCCAAGGCTCAGAGACAGGGCCAGATCGCAGGGCAGTGGCCAGAGGGAGTAGCCACCTCGTGCCCCTGCTCTCAGCACCTCCTTTTCCACAGGAAGACAGATCAAGGAGAGAAAGTAGAGGGACCCAAAGTCAAAGATTCACAGCAGCTGTTGCCTGCCACTTCCTGGGCCTGCTCTCACCCATGGGGGCCTGAGTGTGCCCCTACAACTCCCCTGCCTCCAGGGTTCTCACTCTCACCCCCACCTGGCATCAGTAAAAGAGCCCCTGATATCTCCTGAAACCACAGCGTCAGGGGAGCGTTGTTACCAGGGAGGTCTTTACTAGTGCCCTGGGCTGTCATGGGGTTGGAGCCTGTCTCCCACATCCTGCTCAGTCCAGCCTTCCAGATCTTCCCCACAGAGGGATTGTGGGTGAGGTTGATATTCCCGAGTCCCCACCTCAATCCTGAGACCCAACCTTAGTCTGCCTAGAGCCCAGGACACCAGCTGCAGAGCCCAATGAGAAGGGGTGACGCAGCCCACCACTCAGTCCTGAGTTGGCCTCAGCCTACCAACTGGAGCAGACCTCCCCACTGAGGTCCACTGCCCCCACTGCGGTCCACTGCCCTGGCTGTCAGCCTCCCCTGCCCCCACCCAAAAGGCCTCCTTTAATGGGACGGAGTCAGAGGGCTGTGAGAGATGGCCAGGACCTGGCCAGAAGCATGCAGAGTGGGCAGGGGCCACACGGGACCGCCCTCCAGTCCGCTGGTCAGCACCTTGGAGAGAAGCCCAGCCTGCCCAGGTCACAGGGAGTCCTAGACCAGTGCTGGTGATGGGCCTGAGCAGCGAGCGTGTCTGGCTTCTCTGAA